GTTGCTGGCGAACAAACAGCTATTGGAGCAGTTGAAATCAGAAAAATTCGATTTGGGCATCACCGAGTTGTTTGATTTCAGTGGCATGGGTAACTTTAAATTATTTTTCGAATGAATGGTCAAAACTTCCAGTCATTTGTTCAGCCATCCTTGAAGCGATTGGAGTCAAAAATATCGTGGGAGCTCACGCGCAATCTTCTCTGTTGGAAGGTACAGCCTATGCTATCGGAGCTCCTGTAATACCTAGTTATATGCCAGGTAATCATATGCTACATAATGTTTCCAAAAACTTAACTCTACTTTCAGCTTCGCAAGCCGTCATCGATGATACAAATTATTTTGTGAACCGGGTCATAAATATTCTGTTTACATATCTCTCCTGGTATTTTCAAACTAGCGTTGCCAGCACTGCAGATAGAATTATGAGGGAGAAACTGGGAAGTTCTGCGACACCTATATGGGTAAACTTGTTGGAATTACTTCTATCTTTGGTTCTTGTTTTATGGAATTCTTAAGGATACAGTCGCAAACATGTCATGGATTCTGACTAATTCTGAGCCGTTGCTAGAGTTTGGCAAACCTACACTTCACAAGGTTATCGACTTAGGAGGAATTGGTGTACATAAGCCAAAACCACTAGATGAGTTACGATTTTGGATTCTTCAGCACAAGTCAATAAACACCATGCAAACTTTTCAGAAATGGGACAAAGCTCTGAGTTTACGCAAGCATACGGTGCTGATCTCTTTTGGTAGCGTCGCCCCTTGTATTTTCATGCCAATTGCTATAAAGAAGGCTATTGCAGAAGTGATACGGTCGTGAGTCTCTCTCACAATGTTTCAAAATGCAACATTCAAAAAACTTATAAGACATTTTATGTTCAACAAATTAGATTGATATTAATCACTGAATCGCTTGACAGTTTCTTCAGAATTTTTGTTAATTTTAGTGATACTGCAAAAATGTCTGCAGTTTTATCTATTTTTATTCTATCGGCTATTTTTTCGTATTGGTAATCTACTCACTTTTAGCTATCCCAATGTTACCTTCATTTGGAAATATGAAGAACCAAAAGATGCTTCGTTCTCAGATGGCCTAGAAAACCTGCTCTTATCTAGTTGGACTCCTCAGAGTGATCTGATTGGTTAGTTTTAAATAACTTAGTAACTTATGGCGGAAACATAGGCAGTGACTGTGGTTCCCCTAAGTAAACTCAGACGAGGTGATATGTGGTGTACGATAAACAAAGGTCTATAACTTCTCCAATGACTCTCCGCATATAATGATGGCGGGTTAGAGGTCTCTATCTCAAACCCTTTTTTTCTTTACGTGTTCCATCAGTGTTTGAAGGCAATTACAGGCGAGGGTCATGCGATGACCCTACCCCTATTTTTACAGCCTTAGCATAAGTAATGATAATGATAAGCTTAAAGAGAAATCGCTTAATTCAGCAGCTGCTTTCCTCTTATACTGTTCTAAGTCGTAGCAGTTAAAAACGTATTTGCACGTTTTCCTCGCTTTTTCCGTATTTAAAAATTCCTAGTACATTTAACGGAACAAGGACGCATGATAGTTTTCCAAACCACTCATTTTCACAAACATATACGACCAACGATTTCAACCAACATTATAGCACTTTCTGTCTTAAACCCTCAAAAAACAGCTCAACGCAGATACTCGACCAAGTTTTAGTTTGACAAATGAATAGTGCATGCGCGTGC